AATTGAAGGTCATGATGTAGAAAAAGCGACTGAAAAATGGTGGATGCCATGCAATCCTTTCGGGTGGGGGTGGCGTACCTGGCCTTAACGGTTGCCCCTGCGACAGAAGGCAAGCATGCCCAGATTGTCCACGGGTTGCTAAATGAGATCGTCCCTTTCTTAGTAACCGTTCCTGTCTTATAATTAGACCCGGGCAAATTTCTCGAGATTGCACCATCATTTTGGGCTTAAAGCTTCCAAAGTCCAACAATAATAGCGCATATTCGCGACGGTTTTTTAAGTCAGTCAAGTTCTTAAACCAGGCCTTAAACGGCCAGTTTTAAGTGTCGATAACAGTTAAAAAGGCATACAAGCCTCATGCAAAAGACAGTAGGAAGGAAGTTCACATCGGTGATGGGGAAAAAGGAGTAGCCCACAGATATTTAGGGTGTGGATCTTTCGAAACATTGTTATACTCTTGGACAGATATGCATTGTTTAAAGTTTTAGACAAACCAGGTGTAAATTTATAGTAACAAACTGTTAAATATACATCAGCAAGATTTTTGCGAATCCTATTTTTCGCTGGAGACTATCGTTTACTGGCTGGTCACGCAATCAAAGGTAACGTACTTTTCCACGTTTACTCACCTTTCGCTCTGCAATACACTGCGTTCCACAAAGGATCCAAATTGCGCTAGAAATGTTTGCTTTTCGGCCCACTTTTTATCTCAGGTAAGGCACTGCAAAGCTGATTCACTTACGAAGATTCGAGGGAGAGTTATTTCTTGATGTTATTCTGATTTCGCAGCCACGGGAAAACAGACCTAGACTCAGGTCCACTCGCAGACGCCATGCTGCAATCTACAAGATCTCAAGAACAGAAATTACCCATTGAACGGCCTCTCCTTTTGAAGATTGCGTGTATTTCATTAAAACAGGTACATATTAAAAGAATCTTGTTAGTTTCTCCCTTTTAACGAGCTCAAATCGACGCATAAAACTAAGTTGACGTGCACGTGTCAATTGACCCTGGGGTCAATTAGCGGTTGTTTGGGGCGAAATAACCTCAAAATAATCAGTCTATTTTACAAGCGTTCGCAAGAACACCAGACTAACTTTCAGATAATGTTGAAGTACCATATCTCATTAGGTAGTAAGCGGGATTTGGGGTGATTTGGAGAATTCCCCCATATAGAAAATTCGATTTTTGTTTTAGCGGTAAATTGTTGTATGTATAAGCATTATGCAAATTACGTTTCAAAATTCTGCTGGTTCGTCTATATTCTATTCTCTAAATCTAAAAAATGTGCCGTTCAGAAATTGTTAGATATCTGCTTTTTGAGATTAAAGTGGAAGATTGCCAATATATTCGCTGGTTTTTAAAAATCAGCTCAATTCTGTCACTGGGCTATTTTCCCGAGTTCGGCGGCTAATTTTAGGCCCGCAGACCGTTGAAATCGAAAATCTCAAATAATTCCCAAACTCGGTCGCAGTTTGAAATTTAAACCTCAGCAGTGTTAAAAACTCATTAAAACCTTATTACAGACTGAAAATGAGGGTAAGTTAGGTTTTGAGCTGTGGCCACGATTTGCCGATTTTGCTCGATTTTTCTGTGCATTCGCTCTTAAGGTTGCTCCCGTGAAACACGATGCATGATTTATGTTTCATAGCCTGCAGTGCACTGTGGTGAACCCTTTTGTAGCGGGAAGTTCAGTCTTGTTCACGTTTATTGAAATAATGGAGACCATTTTAAAAAAATTGTTGCAAAGAGTTAATAACCTGTGAGAAGGCGTTCGAGAGAGCTTTCAACTGAGAGGGCTGCGAAAATTGTTAACTGTTAAGCATAAGCGAGCAGAAGCATGATCAAGCTCCGTTTTGGGGCCAGAATGCTGGTTATTCCAATAAAGCAAACAACGCTATTCTTTTTTTATTCAGTTTTGAAAAAACTGCCTCAAAAATAAATAAACGCGTTATGTTAAGTTAGTTATTGTAGTTCAACAAACGCCTTGAATTTTTTTTTTAACTCCATCCAAAATTCCCACGTGCACCAGCCAAGCAAACTTGTTGAAAATTTGCCACATTTGCATATATTACCACAGAGCAAAACCAAAACTCAAATCACAGTTTTAAAAAGCCTAGGCTTCAGTGTTTGGAAATACATTGTCTTCACGTTCTGCTGACATAGCATAGAAGCGTCAGTAGCGTTTGCTGTCTTGGTTTCTAGGCTCGTCGGGGGCGCATCAGCCTTCACTGAAGCAACCTTAATTGAAATAGGTGTATATATATTACGCGTGCTTTAGGGTACTCTTTTGTTGCTATCAAAATTGTTAGGCGTAATTGTACTTGACTTGAAGAACCAGGCGTGTTCATATCGTGTTTCTCTTGTTGCAATCCAAATTTTATACACGGCTTACTTAGGTTATAAAACATACGTGCAGCGTCGCTTCGAGGATGTGTTTTTCTTCACATAAAGAAGGGAGAAAAATTGTGACAAATTCGCGGAAGGTTTTGACGAAAAAATGTGAAATTTGCGAATTTTGCAATTTCCGTTCAAATTGTAAAATCTGCAGCGCCGCTTTGAGGATGTGTTGTCATTAACATAACGAAGGGAGAAGAATTTTGACAATTTTGCCGTAGGGTCTGACGAAAAATCATGAATATTGCAAATTTGGCAGTTTTCGCAAGGACATCTCGAAATATCGCTGATTTTCTATATTTTGTAATTTTCGCGAGGTCATCGCGAAAGATCGTTAATTGACTGTGTAAATTTTGTAGTTTTCACAAGGTCATCGCGAAAATTCGCTACTTTTGAAAATTTCCTAGCAGAGTTCAATCCTGGACATAAGTGGAGAGAAAACTGGGCGAGACTCAGGAAAGACATCGAATAGTTATACCACCTTCTTTGCGTACGTCGCCCAGAAGCTTACGTGTCGACATTAAAAACGAACAAAAAGGGAACACAGAAAACCTATATTCAAATGCAAGATTTAATAAGCAAGGCTTAATTGTTGTTTACATTTTTAATGTCCTACTACTTTTAGCTGAAATCAGCTGCTGGTTTTTTCACTATTGCCTTTTCGCCATTGCGTGGTTCTTCACTTCGCCTGATTACTGATTAAGGGAGTTGAGGCTAGAAAGATGTGCATGAGCAGTTTCTTTTTGCTCAAAGTCTTCTTTGGTGCCAACGATGTTGTGGCTCAGTAGCTCTAGTTTGTGGTCAACGAAGTGATACGGTGGCACCTTCAAGTCTTTCTTCTTTGATCTGCAAAAAACAAACAAACAATTAATGTTAGGTTGAAAATAGATGCTGACTAACAATCGATCAAAATGCCATGCAAATAAATCAAGCCACAAAATTTGTCTCGTTGATAAACGTCTACCTTAATACTCTTCCACGTTCATTTTCGGTTATTGCCCTTTGTCTTGTCTCGGGAATGGATCATTATAAAAACTTAGACAACAATTATTTTTTCTTTTACCAGGGGCACCCAACGAGAATATAGTTCAAAACCACTTAAACATAGCATTGTTGAACGTCTTTTAGTATTTAAACGGAAGATATAGGCATATTTTTATCCCCCCAAAATTTTTCATCTGTTCGGATTTCGTAGCTGAAAGTCTACCTTTTCGAAAATTTCAGCCAGAAAAAAGGCTCCCGAAAATTCTACGTGACTTTTCTAAGGAAAAAAGTCTTTAAAAATGGGCAATTATACCATTTTTAGATGTTCTCAAATCCTAGGAGAAGCAGGCAGGCAAGAATTTTTACAACAAATGTTCCGAAAATTCTAGATCTCAAATCGTCTTCCGAATAGATATTTTCCAAAAATTGTCGTTGGGTGCCCATGTTTTATCGGCTTCTTCTTCCATCAGTTTTCTCTTTTTCTCTTCATGTTTGTTCGCTTGTTTTAATTGTAGTTTGGTGTTGATTATCAGGAAATCGGATATTTAATCCTTGTTTTGGCCAAACTGTTCAATTTTTACAGAACGGCTCATTGTCGTTTTAATCTCGTACAGTTATATTAAACGCCCTTTATGAGAATTTTAGCCTGTTCCATGCTCTCAGATACTGGTTAGGACGAGCAATATGAAAAGCTATCGCGATAATAAATTGGCAAAATCTCAACTAGCTTGGCTCAGGAGTAGCCTACTTGTATGGAGTTACTTCTACTATTTCTTATTCTTGTTTTAAATCTTAGTTATAAACTTGCTCCGTAAATCCCCTTCTCAGTATTAGAACGGCGTTATCGGGCGGGTGCATTATGCACAGCCCTGAGGAACGTTGCGACATGGCTACGTGCGTCTAAGTTCTTGGACGAAATCCTAAAAAGTGCATGTCTTCATTCAATTGGATCCTCTTGGCCGGTACATACGTACTTTCATGTGGTACTATTTATTATGTTGTACCAGAGTTGGTTCGTTCTGACTGAACGTGCTTTCGAGTCTGTGGATAAAATCTTATGGTAAGACCTGAAAGCTACTAAGCAGTACTTTCTTGTGGTACTGTTTATAAAATGCTTTTCAACGAGGTTCTAACGTTTGGCTCTGTGGAAGAAATGCTGTGTAGTGACCACTTAAAACAACCATTTGTACATTTATTTTTCCCTTGTGGTCTTATTGTTTATTATGCTGTACGAGCTGATTCTGAGTTTTTTACGTGTTTGAGTCGGAAAAAACCACGTGAATATGAGAAGCACGATTGTGCAAAATCACAAGCTATCATGAAAGGCGAAAAGCACTATTGCGTAGTAGTGGCTATTTGTTTTACAGTTTAACCCTTTAAGTCCCAATATCCACATACAAATTCTCCAAACTAATCTCTATACATTTCCATAAAGAATGTGTTGAGAGAATCTTGTAAAAGATCAAGGTATTTTCCCATTGTTGATCATTTTATTAATTCTCATAACCTAGTCTCTTGACAAATTATGGATATCATTCTTGAAGGGTTAAGACAAAAGTAAATTTTAAAAATGTCTCGCTTTGCTTATATTGCAATTGTGAAGGCGCAGGGTAAATAACTTACTTGTAAGTAGTTTTGAAGTTGACCGTATAATGGCCACCGTCCTCCAACTTCAAGGCCATGTCGACATCTCCTCTCTGACACCCATCCCACTCATACAGTCTCTCAGTGGACGGTTCCCAGCCTTTTGTCTTCTTCTGCATAACAGGTCCATCTCGGGGAAAGTTTACACCTTGAAACTTGACTTCGTAGATGAAACAGTTGCCAACGAGTCTTTTCATAAAAAAGACATTTTATTCAAAGTTATTTCGCAAGTCTTGAGAGGTGAAAAGTACTGGACGATTTCCAGACCACATGTATTGCATATATCTGCACCACTATGTACTGACAGAAGACCTAGTGTTTTCGTCAACATAGTTGGTTCATTCACAGTGGTTGAAATATTGGACATCTACACCTGTTGTCTGACAGGGCTAGAAAATTTTTTTTTGCAGTTATAATGAACAAGGGTTGATAACCAACCCTAGTTAGCTACTCCTTAGCAACGTGGATCAGGTAATAGGTAATATCTACTGTTGTGTTCCAATAATTTTTGTTATTATTCATTCAAAACATTTCTTCGTTTCTGATTGGCTAAAATCCCAGGCATAATTCATCATAACCAGCTACTGTGCACCAAATTTGGAAGAATTTTGCGATATGTGAAAAATGACGTAAACTGTGCAGCATACTTGCCAGAAAACTGAACATTTAACCGAGTTGTTTTGGTAACCAAAACGGTAAACGGTAGTTTGCATATCTCAAACCGCCCTTGGATACCTTGTGATGCGTACACAAAGTAATTGCATATATGTATACATATATGAGTGAGCCCTGACAAAAGTGATTAGGGTTAAGCACTAACAATACTGATTTAGGTTAAGCACTGACCATACTGATTAGGGTTAAACACTTAGAATAGTGATTAGGGTTAACGGTTAGCTTTTATTTAGGGTTAGGGTTTTCGCTACAGTATAGTTAAATTACTCCAAGTTCCTGCAACGACTTCTCGGTGGTCTGGTGGTTAGGGCATAAGACTACAGATTTAGCACTCAGGGATCGATTCCTGCTCGTGATTCGCAATTTTTTTTTTCTTTTAAATTTGAAGAGACTTGCACTTTGACGACATTTGTTGAGAAGAAATTAAGTCTCTGAGTCAAAAAACTTAGACATTTCATGTAAGTGTAAGTGAAAAGGGAGAGGGAGGTTTGAGATATGGAAACAAGTGCTTACCGAGTACAAAATGGCAGAACATTTCACTGACTCGTTTAACGGGGAAGAAATAGGCGAACTACTGGCTAAAAACATAGCAAGAACAGCAAGAAGACAACTCGACAGACGACATGTGCTATTTGGAGAATATTTGCAGTACTGAATAACCCTTAATCTCCTAAACTTGCCGATGAACAGGCAATTAAAGATGAACTTAGCATTGATGAAGGTAAGCATGTTTTAGCTTGTGTTTAAACTGGGAATTATTTTGAATGAATAATAAAATAATCATTGAATTCGGCTTTCGAATCACCTAAAGAACTTTTCGCCTCGGCTGATGGATAACACCGCCCTCGATCTTCATAATTCTTCAGATGATACTCATCCAATAATTGTTTTAACAATTATTTGAATAATTCAAATTATTCAAATTTAGTTTCGATTACCTGGAGTCGTTTGAGGCAGTGCACACTGCACCATCTTCGAAGGTCATGGTTCTTTCCCATGTGATTCCTTCAGGAAATGACAACTTGATGTAGTCTGGAATATTGCCAGGATACTTGATAAATGGCTTGCTTCCATACATGTATTGAGGCAGCAAAATGTCAATAGAAAATGGCAAAGGCGCACCCTTAGTGACTGTAAGCTTCATTTTCTGCACACCCCTTTTTAAAGAAAGAGTTTATACGCATTAGAAATTAGCATATTTTATATTTAGTTTGCTAACGCCCCCCCCTCCCCTTGTATACTTGTTTATAACCAGTAGAAGTCAGAATTTGCTACTCGTAATAAACCATGCTATCATGGTAATTAGGTTCTGTTCCTGCACCAGAAGACTAGGTCTGCCAGGAGCCCTGATGCCTATTTAAAATAAGTATACTTTGAGCGTTTTTTTAGGCGTGCACGATTAAGGCTGAAATGATTCGGTGTTAGGGAAAAAGTCCCTTTAAAAAAAGCGTGAGCGGTTTGGGGTTTATTGTTTGAGATCTGTTTTAAACAAGAGGCTACTGCATTTAACTAGCTGGAACTTACTCGTAAGGCTGACCACTTCCATTTCCTTGTACCTCAAAGGGTGTCCATTGACGACCCCCTCCATGTGAAGCTTGGTAATCATTTCAGGTAGGATCCCAGTCTTGCAAGAAAATGATGATAAAAAACCATTATTTTTTTCATTTATTCATTTATTAATTTGCTTGTTTGATTATCTATACGTCGCGCAAATATCAATCCACGCACCCGGTTTTATTAACTGCTGCATAATTAGTGCGCATGAATTAACTGCAAAAGCAGTGAATGAAACGATCTTTTACCTTTTTACCTTTTTTTTTGGTGTTTAATTAAATAAATACTAAAAAGAAAAAATGCGTTCCCATATTTCCGGTTAAACATTGATAGAATAGGCTCTGCAGGGGCGGATCCAGGATTTTTTTTTTTAGGAGGGGTGCAGTAGTCTCTTGCTTTACTTCAACACCAATAAACCAAGTAGTTTTTAGCCATTTTTGCCAGCACTTTTTTAGGATTTTACGAGCGCAATCGGGAAAGGCCTATCAGAGACTGGTCATCAAAAGGTGCAGAGTTGTGTGAATATTGGGGTAGAGGCTTGAACTGCGCAGGTCCTCAATTATGTCTCTTGTAGTGTCGCGGGTTCTTCGGTACTTGTAGTCCTAACTTTAGTCAGTGGTTTACGATAACAATACCTCTTTTGGTAATAACAATTATCCGAAAAGGTTTTTTTGTTTTCTTCGAAAATTTCGATGAAAGCTTTCACTGAGGCACACCACAAGACAACAGTTGTGTCCAGTGTTTCTCGTAATTTCAAACAGAAAGTTTCGTTGTCTGTGCAAGGACATTTAAAGTTTACCGCGGTATTTTTCTTGGAATAGTTCTGCAGTGACTAAGGCTTGTATTGTAAATTTTCATTTTGGATCGTGTCTACAGTTATTGACACAAAATGTATTTAAACTCAGGAAAACTCTAAAAATAAATAAGAACTGTCTCGCAGAATTCCACTCGAAAGACAATTGATTACGTTTAGTACAAAAATAGATTTAAAAATATAAACAAAAAAAACAACAACAATAGCCGCCCATGACACAGAAAGGCAAGTAATAGTCTGCTACACAGCCGTTTTTAGCAGACTAGGCAAGTAACTGAACATCAGAAAATTATACAGCTTTATCTTTTATGCAGTAACTGAGTCAACTGAGAGTAAGCCTTTTCAGTAACTTTTGATAACTGTCGTTAGGGTGTGGCATGGTCTGAGTGTGCTACAAATACAGCTAAAGGTTAGTCCTTATTGTCAAAGTAGATTAGACTTCAAATTCATTGCTTGGAGTCAGGAAAATTCACTTACTTGCTTTGAAAGAGCCATGTTGAGAAGAACTGATTGCTTCTTTGTCGAAACGTACTCAAAAGTCCAGTTAAGCTGTTGTGGTTCACTCCGTCACCGACTAAGCTGAACTGACTGCAGTGCTAGGATTGATCGATTTTAAGGCTAGATACACACCTTGATTGACACATTAAAACAGGTTAGGCTAGATCTTAACAGGTTCGTCTGGATAAAAGGGACAAACAAATCTTAGTTCTTTACTAATGAGTTCACGTGATGTACAGTGTGCATGTACTTTTCCAGAGCCTTTCCTAACCAAACTTAGCCTGCGAACCGCAGACGCATTTCCGGTCCCGGAAATGCGTCTGCGGTTCGCAGGCTAAACCAAACTTGGCTATTTCTTAATTTCAACTCTTACGTAACAGTGAGCTCTAAAGTTATATAACAGCTAACTGAAAATCTTGAAATTAATCATTAGTGACTTCGTTACAACGATACCTTGCGGCTTCAGCACAAGCCGTTAAAACACTGCAACAAAGAGCTCACAAATAAATGAAAAAACAAAAAGTGAATGTTGAACAAATATCAGAAACTAAGCTGCAATTATCTATAAGCAATTTTATTCTTTCATTCTGGAAGGCAGAATAAAGTATGCCATCAATTACAGCTACAAGGTTTTGCAGAAGAATTAAAAGTCACTGCTGGTCTAAAAATTTATTATTCCCGGGATCAGGAAATAGAGTGTGTTTAAAAGCTCAAAAAGACAGTTCACTGCCTCATTGACACGATTGAAGCGATTGAAATATGCAGAATATATTACTTATAAAGCAAAAAGGGAAACGGGGGTAGACGATTTGGGAAAAGAAGCTAAATAGGTTCCTGAACATTTTTCGTCAATGAAACAAGTAAAAAACTTTAAATAAGCATAGCCGTTCTTGAGTTGTCACGAATTCCGCTTTAAATTTAAACAAGCTTTGTAACGCGTATGGCTCACTATTTAGGGAGGTAAATGGAAGTGTGCTTTAGTTTAAAACGACTACAGATCATGACCCGGACGGGTGGTTAGATTAAACGTAGACTTGTTTTCCAGCTTTTCATCCGGAGCATGAAAGGTTTTAATATTGCTCAAAGAGTTCGAAAGAGCAGCGAGAACTGCTTATACAATAGCCTTTAGTTAATCACTAGCTCACTCGACCACGTAGATATATAGACTATAAAAATATTGCCCGGCTATTCTAGATCTCAACTCAGACAACTCAGCGACTGAGCTGTGAACACACTTTTTTATTAGGGAGTTTACGCAACGACGGCGGCGAGGGCAAGGAGAACGGCAAAAACGAAATAGGTTTGGACAAGCAAAACAACAACTTTGCACGTCCATCATGCTGTTTTGTACGTTTCTCTACCGTCGTTGCACGACTCAACGTGAAACTACGCACTAATTTCACGTTTTGTCGAGGACGGAAACAGAAGACAACTTTCTTTTTCTTTTCCTGAACTTTGGTCCAGTCCTCACTTTAGAATTCAACTCAAAAAAATTTGCCAACATTTGACGGATTTAACGAGGTTAAGTCTGAGGGAGTGCAAATTCACTTTTTAAGTGATCTTTTCGTAGCCGCCCTCGTCGTCGTTGCGTAACCTCCCTATTAGCGTAGGTAAAAATGGTAAGATTGTTGATTATATATTATCCATATTAAAAAACTGGTATGTTATAATTTTCTTCTTAGATGAAGCGTACATTTCAATAAGGTGATTTGTTAAAAGTACATAAATCTATTTTAGAATCTTTAAGTGAAATCTTTCATCGCTAGTAAGCAAGCGGTAACATTTATTTACTTTCCTTGCCCAGCTCATAACATTCAATCTAACGTGTATTAAGTTGAGTGGACCTGCATTAAGCGGTCACTTTCGTAAGCCCCGGAATTACTATAGAACTGACCCGGTCACCTTTTTCATGGTCCCAACGAGTTATTTTTTATTTTCTCCACCTGTTCAACGGTCACTTTGGCACAAAAAATGGTAAAACAGTTTGTGTACCCCTTCAACAGTTGCCGCGTTGTGGATATTTCGCTTTGTCACCATCTTGATTTTCTTGATAAACTCCGGTCCTAGATAGGTTTGTCAAACTTGTATGAAAGAGTCAACCTGTATTAAGCGGTCAGTAAGCCATTCCCAAAGATATAGGTTTGACTGTAGTTATTTCTAATAATTCTAATAATTAGATTTGGCCCGAAGAAATGGCGCGCCATGTTTCAGTAAGGAGGAAAACTATAATTAAAAATGGCGCAAACCGGCTGATAAAAGAGTAGAACGTTACGCTTTTGTGGTCCATTGCCTTAAATGACTCAAAATAAAGCGATTAAATGAATTCATCTTTTACATAAAATTAAGCTTCGGCTAAGTGAGAATCACTCCGTTTAACACTACCTCGCATTTATAATTACTTTTTACTTTATTTCAAAAACAAGCTGAATCACATCAGAACTTGTTTAGATCCTAGATGTTGAGTCACACAAACAAAGCGGATGTCAAAAGGTTTGCGGCTTTTTTATAACCTAAAGTAAGAATGGAGGGTTTGCAAAATATACATCATTAACGACACATTGGGAGGGGGAGGGGACAGTATAGGGGATTAGAAAATGGTCAAACTTCAATGGTTTTCTTGAAGTAGTATGAAGTACAAAAATTTCTGTGTAAAGTAATTCTTTTTCAGTGACTGAAGATAGATAATCACAGAAATCTTGTCCTTTAGAATAATGGAATAATCAGGTGGTCAATAACGCCCTTTGGAATAATAATTTTTCTCATTTTGACTGGAATAAGGAACAGCGAAATTTTCGTTCAGGATTAATTAAAACACCCTATTATTGCTCATTCGGTTTGTATGGCGTTTTGCCACTGTCAAGCAATTTTTTTAAGTTACACAGCGATAGCGTGCCCTGGAGCACAACCGCCCACAATTATCATAGTATTTCTCTCGAAAATGATTTATCGATATTCAAAGTTAATTTGACTGTCTGTAAATTAATAACAGGGCCGGTGAATTAAAATGAAATATAAACATAACTGATTATATTTAAAACCATAGGGACTCCGATTGCTTTAGGACTGTAAGTGCATGGTTCTAGTATTGAGCGTCTGACTGACATGGGTATTGGTGCGGACGTACCTTTCGTCGCACATTTTCCATCAAATCGTCGGTTTCCTCAACGAAATCGTCACTTGCCGTATCAAGGATTGTTTTGCGTGGTGGCTCTACTAGAAGCTTAAGCAACGGAGACGACTACGACGGGAACTAGAAAATCAAAAGGCAATACATTTAA